GTGTGCCGTTGCGAGGCACAATCGGATCGGCCACTGTTTTATCCATGTATCTGTACAGGCAGCATTAAGTATATACATCAAGACTGCTTAATGCAATGGATGCGTTATTCGCATAAAGAGTACTGCGAACTTTGCGGTCATCGCTTCAGCTTCCAACCGATCTACTCGCCGGATATGCCACGCGTGTTGCCTCTACGCGATGTGGCAGGTGGCTTATTATCAGCTGTTGCCAAGGCAGCTAAATCATGGTTCCATTATTCATTGGTTGGTTTGGCTTGGTTCGGCATCGTTCCCTTATCCGCCTACCGTACATACCGCTACCTATTTCGTGCTTCTTCCTTTGAGTTGATACTGTCTGTACCGTTTGACGTATTTTCTACGGACAACTTAGCTTCGGATGCTTTCCGCGGCTGCTTTGTAGTCACGTGTACATTGCTTTCATTTATCGGCTTAGTTTGGCTACGCGAGCAGATATTGCACGGTGGCGGCCCGGATTGGTTAGAACGCGATGATGCACCAGCAGCAGTAAATGANTCGGCTTAGTTTGGCTACGCGAGCAGATATTGCACGGTGGCGGCCCGGATTGGTTAGAACGCGATGATGCACCAGCAGCAGTAAATGATGGTGAGGAACAGCAGCAGCCAGTGGTTGGAATAGGTGCAGTTGACGGTAATGGTGGAGGGGTGAATGACGGACAAGGTGACAGAGCTCGAGACGGTGTTGACGCTGATGCCGCACGCGCTGCAGATGACGCTGCAGCTAATTTACAACCCAATAGAGATAACGATGATGACAATGAAGACGCACCGATCGACATGCCAATGAACAATGCTGCACCAGCTGCTGTTAATCCAGCTGAGGAAGAAGGAGAAATACCGCTAGAATTCGGACCAATCCCGCAACCACTGCCAGGCGCTGGTAATAACGGCAATGGTGCAGGCGAAGACGTTGGCGCAGCTCAAGCTGGTCCAGCTGCAGCTGGTGGTGGAGCTGCTGAAAATGATAATGACAACGATGAACCTAACTGGAATCCAATGGAGTGGGATCGCGCAGCTGAAGAACTGACTTGGGAACGACTGCTTGGTTTGGATGGCTCACTAATTTTTCTTGAACACGTCTTTTGGATTATCTCATTGAATACGCTGTTCATTGTCACTTTTGCGTTTTGTCCATATTGCATTGGCAATTTTATATTAAGCTCCCTGGACTTGCTGCAACCGGATAAACCACTATTACATTTCCATGGACTCATTACTACACTTTTTGGCTACTGCTTCATTGGTCTAACATTGGTCATATTACACTTCTTTGCACGTCTTTTCCGCATGCGGCGCGTGCGTTGGGTTATTGGCCTCTGCTACATAGTGGTAAAGGTGTCGCTGCTATCCGTCGTGGAAATCGGTGTGCTGCCATTGGTTTGCGGCTGGTGGTTGGATATATGCTCGTTGCCTCTATTCGATGCCAGCATTAAGGACCGCAAAGTAAGTTTTAAGGCAGCACCTGGCACTTCGCTCTTTGTCCATTGGATGTTCGGCATGGTGTACGTTTACTACTTTGCCGCCTTCATTTCACTACTGAGAGAAGTTTTGCGGCCCGGTGTACTCTGGTTCCTACGCAACTTAAACGATCCAGATTTCAGTCCAATACAAGTAAGTGCCATAATGATGATATAACTTCGATTCTTGTCATGGACGCAACTTTAAATCGAACTCACATTTTTCTTTAGGAAATGATACATTTACCAATACTCCGCCATGTACGCCGTCTTATTGCCTCTGCCATGATTTTTGGTTCTGCTGTTCTATTGATGCTTTGGTTACCGATACGCATTTTAAAAACTATCTGGCCTTCATTTCTTCCATACACACTATCCGGAGACTCTGAAGTCAATGAACTCAGTTTACAGCTACTACTGCTACAGGTAAGTATTCGCTGGTATAAAAAGGTTTTCAATAACTAAATCACATTTTGCTCTTATTGCAGATAATTCTTCCCGGCTTCTTCGAACAATCGCATACACGCATCTGGCTGAAAGGTTTACTTCGCATATGGTGTGTTTGTGTTTCCTGGTTGCTGGGCATACGCAGTTATTTGCTCGGTTCTGAACAGCCTGCCGCCGATGGTAATGCAAATGCAGCTAATGGCGCAGCTCGAGGTGCTGCTGCAGATGCACCCGATGCCGACAATGATGAAGCGCCGCAGCAAAATGCCAACAATCCGCCAGCTGCTGCTGCACAACCAGAAGCGGCAGGAAACGCCTTCAATGCACAGCGTTTTATGCGGGGACCTGCGCCTGCGGTGCCTATGCCGCGCGAACATAACTTGGGTGCCGTGCATCAGGCCATTATGCAACGCGATGTACCAGTCGGTTTTCAACCATATGATCGGCCAACGTTATTCCCCTTACGCTTGTGTGGTCTGCTGTTTTTCATGTGCGTTTCGCTGGTAATTGCCTCGGTTGTTACATTGACGGTGCCGGTTTGGATTGGCCGCCAAGTGATGGCATTGTGGTCTGTTGGCGGCCATTTCACAAATCAAGTAGTTGCCCAGGCGCCAGAGGTATCACCGCGTCCACACGAGCTCTATACGGCTGCCTTGGGCACTTATCTCTGCTGGATTATTTCACGCGGTATTGCCATCGCTGTGAACTTGCTGCCTCAAGGGCGTGCTGCAGTCATGGATAAGATTAAGCACTGGCTGCGCGTTGGCGCCTCTTACGCACTGCCTGTACTCATTTTTGTGCTCATGTTAGGCGTTATACCACTTTTGTTTGGGCTACTGCTCGAGCTGGTGGTGGTGATACCGCTGCGCGTACCCTTCTATCAAACGCCCATACACTTTTTGTGGCAAGACTGGGC